GAGGATGATCTGAGGGCTGGAGCACCTCTCCTACAAGGACAGGCTGAGAGAGTTGGGGTTGTTCAGCCCAGAGAAGAGAAGGCTCTGAGGAGACCTTATAGCGGCCTTCCAATACCTGAAGGGGCTACAAGAAAGCTGGGGAGGGACTTTTTATAAGGGCAGTTAGTGATGGGATGAGGGATAACAGTTTTAAACTGAGGGTAGATTTAGATTAGATACTAGGAAGAAATTTTTTACTGTGAGGTTCATGAGACACTGGATTGGGTTATCCACAGAAGTTGTGGATGTCCTTTCTTCCCTGGAAGTGTTTAAGGCCAGGCTGGATGAGGCTTTGAGCAACCTGGTCTAGTGGAAGGTGTCCCTGCTGATGGCAGGGGGGTTGGAACTAGAAGATCTTTAAGGTTGCTTCCAACTGAAACCATTCTATGGTTCTATAAAATACAGCAGCAGAGACAGTGAGGAGAACATGGCAGTTTTTCAGCCCCAATCTACTTTAGGAGTTTCAGATGCTTTTAAGAACACCTTAAAACTGTTTTGCTTGATGGATTGTATAAGTGTTTTAAGAGCCTGTATTTTCCTCTGTATAAGCTTTTGATACTGTCTTAATGTATTCTTTTTCCTTTGAAAGTGAGTTTTTTTTCTAGGTTATAGTCACTGTAAAAGACAAGAAGAACGGGCAGTCCTGCCATTTTTGTTAATCTTCTGGAAAAGAAACAGTCATGGTTTGGCTGTGTGTCCATTTTAATTTGTTTTCACATCAGTCAGGTGCATTGGCTTCAGTCCCTAATTTATGTACCTCTCCCTTCTCAAGTGAGCAGCTTGGCAGTCCTTAAATGCTGGACTTTCTTAATTCCAAATTCCTTAATATTAGTAATTATATTATGTCGTTATCCAGAGGACCTTTCCAAAAGATCAAAGATCAGGCAGAAAGTTAAACATCTAGTTACAGTGCCCCATAAAAGGGGGATATCAGAAAAGGAAGTTTAAGGAGCTAGGAAGAAAAACAGTAAATAGTTTTGATACCAAGTGTTTCTTACAGAGTGAGGTGAGTGAGGGTGCATGGAAGAGGGAAAATAAAGGCCAGCAAAGTAAGGAGGTGTAAGTGTGTAGGACAACAAGTTTCTTAAACATGATGAAATGGAAAAAGATGGAGCTGGTAGAGGGATCTAGGAGAAGAGTCATATGCTTAAAATGACAGGACTGGAAAAAGATCTCATCAGGGTGTGGATGGAAGGAACTTGATTGAATTGATAGTGAAGATAAGGGTGTAGCAAGTGTTGCTGAGAGAGAATGCATATATTAGTGGCAATCAGAAAAAAATACTGGATTTGGGGGATACAGAAGATAAAGTGGCAAATTTGGAGACAGAAATTATGTGGTCCGGGAAGGAGTGGAGTCCAAAATACCTCTATAGACAGACTGGAGTGAGTAGGAGAACATGATGAATTGGTAGTATGAGAAGAAGTAATACTGTTTTTTTGGTCATGTCACATTTAATACGATTACAAACTAAGTTGATGACAGAAGTTGTGATGTGGGTGTGATTCACAGATGCAGAGACTTGATTAAAACCAAGCAGGTTGGGTCAGAGCCTAAAGGTGGAGACTGCAGAACTGCCACAGGTTTTTGGAAGGGAGAAAAGGGTCCCTGCATAGTGAGAAGCACTAATGAAATACCAGAGGAGCATTAAGACAATACTGTGGCATCACAGGAGATTAAAACCTGCAGGAAGATGAGATTATGGTATATAAATGGTGTCATAAGAAGTTTGGAGGATTCTGAGCTAGTCTAGATCTTGAAGTTTGACTGGCCATTGGGGTCACAGAGGATTTTGGCGGAATTTATGTTAAATTAAGATCTTAATTCTGTAGCTGTGAAAGCTTCTGCTGAACTTTAACACGCTTCCTTTTCCATCTGACAAGTGCTCAAGGGGAAGGCTTACAAGAAGGGTTACCCAGGATGAAGAGGATGAAAAATACCCTTGGGAAGATTGTTTCATACCTAGAGTTAATGAAACTGGGTTGGAACTCTTTCTTGTTTACTTCTTAGCATAAACACTGATCCTTGTGGAAGGCACCTTGCTGACCTTACACCCACCCCGCTGAATCATTCCACCAGCTTATGATCTCCTTAACATAAGTGGGAGTAGGGTTATTCCCTAGGGGAGGATGGTCTAACTTGTTTCTCGTTGATGTGTTTTTAATTTCTGAAGAGAAAATGTAAAAGGTTTTTCTTTAAGAGGTTCTGTGTGACAAGGAGAAACTGAGCTTGTGTATAGAATAATATATCCCTGAACTCGAGGGATCTGTTATGTTTTCCTTCTCATAGCAGCAATTTTAGCCTTTTAGCACCTGTAGTTAAAAGGCCAAGAGCAAAGCATTCATCTGATGATTCTGAGGACACCTGGTCTTCAAATAATCAGTACTGAAGCTGAGAACTATGGTATCAAAAGAAATAAAACAATTTTTAATTTGAAAACTAATTTTGAATGATTCAGTAGTCTTTCAAGAGCCTATTAACTCTTTAATGTTATGTTTACAGTTTTTTAACTGCTGCTGTGGTTCAAATGCGTGTCTGGAACTTGTGGTTAATCTTTTGTCCACAAATCCATGTCAACCAGGAAAAAAAAAATCACTCATCAAGCACAGCTTTACCAGCATAACTCATTGTTTGGATGAAGCACTCCCAACAGAAGAGTGCTTTTGTTGGCTTTGCTGATGTCGTTCAGAGAAGTTGTGTTGCCGTGTCAGGGGAAAAAACTTCCATGGAACCTGTGGTGCCTGTGTTAGTTACACTGATGCTGGTCTGTAATCTGAATGCTGTCTGAGGTTTTCATTTTGTCCTGTCTTTGTGCAGACCTTCCTGTCTCCATCTAGATGAGTTACTTTGCTGTACCTATACCATACGTTTAAGTCAAAGAAAATAATGTTTCTTTATCCCTGCCATTTTATGTCTAATTAAATTGTTACCAGAGTTACATGTTCCATATATGGTGGGTAGATCTTAATAATTATGTTATTGTTTCCTTTTCAAGATAGAGTTCAGAAACCACCTGCAACAGGGATTCACACAGGCTCCTATTTTTGATAGGAGCAGTGCCTACTGACAGATTGAGACTCGAGGCTGAGTCTTATAAAAGGCTCTGTTTAAGCTTCAGATGATGAAACCTGGTGTCTGTGGCCAGCTGTAGAAGTTTTGTTGGTCCTTGGCCTATAACTTTCTTTTAAAGTAACAGTAGATGATGTAGTTGATGAACACAGGAAGACACTGTGGATGGGTTTCAGCTCACTTAAGCTGGGATTTCTACAATGTAGATCATTGACATCCAAGCTCCTTATTCATCTTTCATTCAGTGAGGAGAATTAGGCCTTTTTAGGCTGCAACTCATCTTACCTATTCTAGATGCCTGCTTTAGGATGCTGATTTCCCTTTTCTCCCTAGTGATTATAAAGAGAGTCTAGATGTCTAGCTCAGATGTCAATGTCTACAGCAGGTGGGAAGAGCTGTCCTGCATGCCCGTAACTCTAGCTGATCACAGTGTGATATGAAGGAGCATTCAGACAGGGCCCTGTGAGAGGGAAATTCAACAGAAAAAGATGTGTCTTTGGCCAAGCAGATGAGTACATCTACTTGTATTCTGCAGCTCAGAAGGGCTTGTGGAGAAAGAGGCAGAGTGAGGAGAGCACCTAAGAGTAGGGTGGGAAGACAAGTTAGAAGCTGTTCAGCATCTCTTCCCCCTTCTTAACCAGAAGGAAGTGTTCTTATGTCTCTGGGAATAAAGAAGATGAGTTCTTGAAACCAAATTTTATTGATGGAATTGGTTAGAACAGGTTGTAGTTAATTCCTACCTTTCTGGTAGGTAGAAAACAACTCGTATAATAAATATTATTCTTCTCAAGTAAATCTTTTTAAGGTAATGAACTGTAACTCTTTTTTTTTTTTTTTACAAGCCTTCATGAGCTTGCCCTAACCTGATGGGAGCACTGGCTTTCTTGTAAATGCTACTGTGTGGGTGGGAGAGCAGTGCTCAGCTTTTAGCAGAAGAAATGCTTCATTTTGCATGCTCCATATCCTGCCAGCTCTGAGATGTGAAGCTGCCAATGAACTTGAGAACCTGGGCAGGTTGAGGCTGGGTAGGTTGAATGTTCTGTGAGTTTTGTGGGAGGGAGTGGCAGCTGCATTGCCTGCGTGTTTGGTCCCAGCCTTCTTTGCAAGTGGCCTCAGGTGTAGTACCCACTGCTGCACCCCTGTTCTGCCAATTGTGCCTCTGTCCCAGAACTAAGACGATATAAAGGGAAGGTGTAAGATTTAGCCAAAACTCCTGTATGTAAAGGGCTGGATTTGATCTAGATCTCTTTTGGTCATGTGCTGTTAAGAGTGTCACATTTCCTCTGTGTTCTCCAGTTCTCAGTTTCTGAGAAAAAAGTATATTGGTTAACATAAACAGCTCAATTTAGTTTTAGTACATGAGTTATTGTAAGTAATAAGCATCAGGCAAACTAGTGTGTACAAATAGTACATATTGTATGAAAAAGAGTATTAATTTATAAGTTTAAAAATAAAATACTGTCAAAATGCATCAAAGTGTATTTGAATTATGAAGTATAGCAATCTTAGAAATGTGGAAGGGTGTTTATACTGATTGATAAAGGCTTGCATAATAGATATTTCTGGCAAACAGTTGTGTTTCTGTTTGCAAGCTAACTGCTAGTTCTAGCCTTATTTTTTATTACTTCTTTAATTTTTTCATTACAGTGAAAGAGCAGGCACTTTTGCATTAAAACCAGACACTGACAAATCTTCCTTTCTGTTCTACTTTTGCTACCTAGGAAGGAATAATATCTCCTACTGATCTAGACCTTGTGATGTCTGATGGACTGGGAATGCGATACGCATTTATCGGACCACTGGAAACCATGCATCTTAATGCAAATGGTAGGTAGTTTAAAATTATATGAAAATGAAGGGAAAGCTTACGTTGCACAAGACTCTGGAAATATTGTATAACAAACCAAGTTACAATTGCTGCAACTGTGACTCCTCTCTCTTACTGTAATGGTAAGAAAAGGAAAATTTATCTAAAGCTTGACATCAGGTGGAAGGAAATTGATATTGGTTACAACATTGGTGGATAAGGCTGAAGCA